GGCCCTCTCATTACCAATAAAGCCTATATGGGCTTTAACCCGCAATGTAGCTTAATATTTCAATATGAACTCAAAGTTTCTAAATGACTCTTAATTTTGACAATTAATGGATTGAAGTTGTCTGGACGGGAGAGCGCATGGAGAAGTGACAGGCAGTCAGTGTAAATATTTACAGACGTGGGTATAAACAAGGTATTTTTAATACATAACAAGGCTTGTTTAAACGCTTCACTTTCTGCTTGGAAAACTGAATTATATATATTCAACATAAACATTTATAATCCATCTCAGTTGCATAGTAAAAAAAAAACAACAAAGACAGCTCCTACGCTCCCTCCGACCCTAGAACCATCTGTATAAATATCAAATACATCAACAGTTGGATTACTTATATCAAAAGCAAAGCCAAATCTATTGGAAGGATGTATTAAATTTTTCAAAAACATTCTTTGTAACTAAATAATCTTCATACATTTTCAATTCTATTCGTCCAGTTTTGCCTTGATATAAGAGAGTTATTCATCTCCCAACTTGGCCAGAGGTTACAAACAGGAACAAAGTTGGTGAAAAATATGCTTTAAGAGCCAACACTGTCAGTAATGCACGTCCTAGCCATTGGAATAAATAGTCTCGGAAGTATCATATAATGTCGAAGAGGCCCAGTGGAGAGGTTTCTACTTAACGATACACAAAGAGGAGGTACTTAAATATTTTTCGCTTCTGCAGTCAGTTAGAGAAGAGTATGCAAATTACCTGCTTTAATTGTCTTATGAGTTCAACTACTACTTAATTTACTTGCTAGTATCTAGCTGGAATAATAACTGTTATATGATTTATAAGAATTATAATAACAATTAAAAAATATTCACTAATAGAACGTAATTGAAAACAAATTTGAGTAAACCTACAACCCACTGCTTTGCGCACATAAAAAGGTAATAAGAAAGAGACAAACTTTTTTTTTTTACCATCTTACTGACTGAGAAAACTGAATATTGATATGTGTGTAATATGTTGAACATAGAAAAGAATGAAAAATGTATAAAATTCATACCAACACTTAAGACTACATTGGGAATTCAAAACACTTGCTGCTATACAGCTGTTAAAATATTTGCGACTTGTGTGTTTTCTAGAATGCATTTGGCGTATCTCGAAAAACTATGCTTAATGATAAAATGAGCCACACACACAAAATAATGAATAGGTTAGTAGAAATGAGTTCAAGAGCGGAAAAAATGTTAACAAACCTTTAGGGCCACCGTTAATAGTCTGAAAGCTTTCAGTCATTTCCATAGTTATTTTTCTTTTTATATTTATTTATTTTTACTAACGTACTTACTTTTCGTTTTGTGACCTATCGGAGTCGGTAAAAAAAAAACTTTGGATATAAATACTATTTTTACATTCAACGTTATAAAACTGCATTAAAAAACAAATTGTTTTTCAGTTAAAAAATGTCATATATAACATTTGCTTCATGACTGGTTTCTGATAAAATTAGAAATATGAATCTCCAAACTTGAAACGTTTATTGCCCGCGTTACTTCCATTTTGAACATAAAAATACTTCTTGTAAATCTTCGACATTCTTCGTGAAATTTGAAGACACATCTTACTCTCCCCCGTTTTCTACCCCTTTTTTTGAAGATTAAAAAAAAAAAACTTAGAAAACAAGAAAATTAACAGGATAGGAAATGAATAAGCATACGGGACTCCAAAACTTTACCATAGGTTGATACACATACTGTGCCGAGGTGCTCCTGATGTAGACAAAAATCCTACAGAATCTTCATGCTAACGTTCTAAAGCATTTTCATACAGTTGAGAATTTAGAAGGTTGTACATACATATCTATTATATATATATAAATTTTTAACCTCTCCTTTTCTTATAAATCTATTTATCTATCTATCTAGACACACACACACACACACACCTATATATATATTCTATTTATCTATACATATATATATATATATATATATATATATATATATGTATAGATAGATAGAATAAAACTGTTTCGTAATAATTATTTCTCAGAAATAGCTTGCCTTTTCGGAAAAGTATTTGACGATATTGTTAATTAATAAACTTTATTATGAATACAAAAATGAGCTTAATAACTAATTTCAACGAAATAGCGTTTGTATAGAACCCCTATATGATGCGTGCGTAGATCTGTAGGCCACATGCGGTACATAATTGAATTAACGTATTGCTAGATTTTTAGTCCGGAATATGGTCAACACAAATAACAAATATGCAGTCATTATGTAAATTTTATCATCTAAACTATCTAGGCGGACAATGATTTCCTGGGAGCATTTTACAAGAACATTATGTATTTCAGAGATGATGGATTCGAAAGCAACTAAATCTGAGTATGAGTAATTACAACAATTATCGAAGTGGATTTTTGCAATAGGAAGAGCTTTCAAACAGTCAACACAGCCGCCTTCTTCTGTTGCACTAGACGAAAGCAATGAGAATGGGAGACTGAGTTTCCAAAAACATATCATTCTCACTTCTTATTGGTTTTACTTGTCTTTTACGTATTTGCAATTGGAGAAGGCAGTAAAAACTCTTATATCGCTGAAAGCGTTTCTGCTAAAATACAATCTACCTTAATCAACGTTATGTTTCTCCCATTTAGTTTTATTTGGCTTGCCATTTTTCCCCCAAGAAAAAACGTTATTTATATAAACCTCACTCGTGCCAAAAGTATGGTGAATATTTCAAGAAGCAGTCTTAAAAGAATAGTAGATTTAAATTCCGCTGTGATTTCATTTACGTTTGAAATCAAATTCAGTAACACATTTCTGCATTAAACAGAAATCTGTACAGAGAAAATGCTTATTATTTAAACTAATGGCCCTTACTCTATTGAAATTAGAATGAAAAGAATCAGAAAATTCATTTGGATCAGCTTGTAACTGATGTAACAAAATAACAGTGTTTGCATTGTTCATAAACCTTTATGTGTTGTTATATTTCATTTTATGAAACTTGCCTTTGAATTGGAGTTCATTGTCATGAAATGAATATTTTGCTGATGTAGAGATGAGGTAGCTGTTATACTTGAAATCACATTTATATCTCGAGGAATTATTTTTGTCTGTTGACAATTATATGACTTGACTCAATTCACGTGAGCTTACATTAATGTTTCCTAAGTGATCTTTGGCGTTCTTTTGGTAAACAACTAATAACGTAAGTGGATAACTAATGTCCTGTATTGATTTCTTGAAAACAATGCGACGAGGAGATGTATTAATTCCCTAAACTTAAATATACGGCAAGTTTTATTAGGATTTAATTCGAGCAATGTTATTATAAACCCTTATATAGCTGCTGACGTTATTTCCCGTTACAGTCTTCTACTCAAATGTTGCTAAAAGCATTTTATAAATCCCAAGCTTCAGTCAGAAGCGATAAGCACATTAATTATTAAATTAAAGAAAACAGTAGAAAAATTAGAGCGAGAATTAAAAACCTACTGAAGAGATACTAATAAGCTACTAATAAGAGATTCATTTCATTCCACCAAATGTTTTTAAAAATTTGTTTTAGCAAATAATTTGGTGTGCTCTAGTTAACAATTTTAGTCTATCCGTACTCAGTAACTCATCTTATTTCCTCAAAGTTTTTAACGGCTTATTACCTTTAGTAGGGTTAATTAGTTATGTCAAATTCTGAGCTATATAAAACCAACAACAATGTGATATAAATGGTTATTATTATAGTCTACACTTCCGACTAATTGCTTACGAAGTTACACTCAAGTCCTCACACGTGAGATTTATTGTGGAGTAAAATTTGCAGATCTCAGATCATCATGCCTACGACTCATAAGGATCGCTTAAAATCTGTCTTTCTTAGTTCCAAATCCTGTGGCTGCTACATAAGAAAACAAGAAGCTCATCTTTCAACAATTTTTCTTCTCCTGATGGTTTTCGATCAAAACTGTATCAATGGTATGGGAAATGCCATAGTGCTCACAAATTAATAACAAACAATAGACAACGGTTTTAAAAGTAACTTTATATGGTTATGAAAATACATAGAAGCAATCATGTATTTTGTTTCGAAGCAGGAGACAGGAAGAATGTGCAACACCGTCATTGGGACTCGAACTCTGAGCCTTTCGATTGATAGCCTTACGTGCTTTCCATTTATAAAATAAAGCGACACTTTAAAAAAGCAGAAAATAACTTAAAAATCTGCAAAAATAATTCAGACAAAAGTTATTATAAGAAAAAATGCTTACAATTAAAGGAACCGTAGTCAACTTTCAAGAGACAGACGAAACATGGTACATTTTAACATCAAATTATGGTTAAATTTGTAAATGCTGAAAAGAAATATTTTAATAGACTAATGAAGCTTATTTTAACGAGAAAAACAATCACAAATGTAACACACATTTTGATGAATGAATAACTGAGCATGTATCCGTGCGTCTATTTACATACAGTCTAAATGCCTGCCAAATATTCCTGTATTTATTTCGGATTATATGCATATGCAAAATAAGCTATTAAAATTTTAATATGTTTGGTGTTTAACTTGAGAATGTTATATATTCGTATATTGATTGACAACTGTTCTATCATAATACAACTGCTTTCTTCGTGATTTAGCCCAAATCACGATTTTTTAAAAAATAATCCGACATTTTTGAAAATAATCCAAGACTCCGTTATTAAAGAATTTCTTTTACATTGAAAATGCATCAAAGCTCTTTATTGTCGTAAACTACTTTAACTGTACTTACAAAAACAAAAGGACGGAAAAAAAAGAAAATGAAAAAAAAAAAAAGAAAAAGAAAAAAAAAAAAAATTAACAGGGACACACTATTGGGCACCAAACATCGTCGAAAGAGGCAAAAAAAGAAGAAAGCCGCACCGACCTCTGCGTGATTTCTTGTATTTCCGCATAGCCGTACGATATCGCGCCGAAATTCAATGCTGTCTTGTTCGTTTTTTGCCATTACAATGGATACTGACACGATATTTGTGAATGATACCATTCGTCCGCATACAGCTTCAGTTGTGTGGAGTTATCTGGAGAGTGAAACCATTCCACATGCGCCGTGGCCTGCTAGATCACTCGACCTGAATACCATACAGCATTTGTGGAACACTTTAGGACAACGGATACTAGGGCGCTATGTGCTGTCAGGCACTCTCCACGAGCTCCGACATGCATTACTACAGGAATGGGCGCTGCTGCCACAAGCTATCACCGACGCAACTTGCTTCGGCCGTTGTCAAGTATGCATGTTTAGCTAGAGGGTAGCGTGATGCTTCCATTGCACATTCTTTCAATCCATTTGGTCTTTCGAGATGTGATGGTCGTAATACATGTATTATTTTATTGTTTGCTATGTGGTCTAGTAATGTGACACCGACTTCTTGGATGAATGGCACGCATATCCATTAAATATTTTTCGTTCTATTCCGTGTTTTGATTTTGTTGCTTATTTTTTGAGCAGGAGTGCATTAGCCCGTCAAGATAATCACCATACCGCTTTGTCACCTACTCATCGAAGTCATTCCTCTTCCGGACTAGTCAGTAGTCCAGTCAGCTGTATTATGTGTTTATAAAAAGATAAATTATTATTTTGCGAATTATTAGTTTTATTAAGTGTAAGGCAATTCGGATAAATCTCGGGGTATTCAATCTTATTAAAATTATTAAATGTAATAAGATCATATATATATATCTGTAAGTGTGCTTGTAGTAATTTAATTCTTGCTGTTGTAAATTTTTTTTGGAAGTTAAATTCTTTGATAAATAAAAAGATATTACAGATCACGGTACCGGAATGGGAGCCCATTGGAAGACATTTAACTTGTTTAAAAAGTTTATTTTGAAATTTAATGTAGTTATGAAAAAGTGTGCATTTTAGGTAGGGTTTCCATTTACTAAGATTCATAATTGTGAGCATATCAGGGAAGAGTTTAGGCAGATCTAGTAGACTAGTATAAATTTCTTCTAAAGGATAAGTTTTCAAAGTCATAGCAGTTAATGCTTTGTATGTCAATTGTCAGAATGGCATTAATGACAGGAGTGTTACTATGGATGATCCAGCAATAGTTATGATTAGTGTTACAATCGTTGAAAATAAATTTAAAATTTTTTTTAAATTGTATTGAAAAATAATAGTCTACATTTTTTCTTGTGGTTGTTAGTTCTATTTGCTATAAATCTGAATTTTAATGGTGTTTTATGGAATTTGGGAAGTGCATAGAGGTTAGTAAATCTGTTGTAGCTTGGATTGAAAGTGATATTAAGTTTTTTATGAAAAGTTTTCTGTTTATTATAGATGTTTCTGTAAGGTTTGCTAACTGATCACCCAGCTCAGTGATCTCAGTTTCTTTACTTTTATATGTTTGCAAATTGTGCATGTTTTGCTTTAAAAATGATTGAATTATGCTGTTCTTATCTTCCGTTTAAGGTTATTATGCCTTCAGGAAATCTGCAAGCAATATTTGTAGAATTATCAACAATTTAAAAGCTGTGTAAGTGCGGTTGAGCCTAATTTTTAAATAACATGGCGTGCATGCTTTGTTTACATTTGAAACAGCAGAATAATAGATTTGTTGCCAATCTAGAGAGACTAAGCTTCGCAACAACAAAGACAACGCCTTCATTTATTATTGCGAATTAAATCATGCTTAATCCTTCCTGGAATTTTTTGAGGAAGTAAGTATTTAAGAGTTACTTCGTAATTTTTAATATAGATATTTTGAGGTTTTATGTATTTTTGCCTTGTCGCGAAATGAGAACTGAATTAATTGAATGAGAAATACTGAATCGTCTGTGAAAAGCTGTTTCTTTTTTGTTTTATTTGCTTAATTTCTTTTATACATCGTTCTAGATTTATTATAGTATTTGAATAGGACATGTGGCAACGATTAGATAATTCTTCAAATGCTATAAATTTTGTACATTGTGTTATAATATGAACGAAATATAGCGCTGATAAGTGAACCTAGTGACAGAGTGTCGCTATGGTAAACAAGTATAGTGAATTTTAAAGAGTGCACTTATTCTATTGTGGTTTACGCGCTATCGACGAAGTAGATTTATTTCAATCCAATAAGTTTAAATGAAATGCAAGAAAAAATGCGTATAATTTAGTATTCCGTACAAGGAAGTCATGTGGTGTACACATTAGATTTTTTATTTTCTTATTAAACAGGATGAATTACCACTTGATATGTCCATTTTCTTTTGCGACAGAAATGAATCATAAAATAAAAAGTGTTTTTTTTTTTTTTTTTTCCAATATGAATGTTTATCCAGATTTCCAGACTTCAAACCTTGAGATTTTTTATTATAGAGTGACCTTAATTCATTGGTATACAGAAGTTATTAGGTATTTCTCCCCGCCTTCTTAGAATGTCTTCGTGGTGTAGTGTTCAGCACGTTCGGTGCTTATTCGAAAGTTCCGTGGTTCGAGTCCTGGCGAAGGCATTGCTCGTTTTTCATGTCTCCTGCTTCCGAATAGTCTCTACAGTGGCGTCCGAACTAGAATTTTAAAACTAATATATATTTCAAATAACAATGTTATGTTTTTTGTAGTAATTTTTCTTTTACATTAGTCAAAATAACTATAGAAAAGGAAACTGGAAAATATGACTTGACCTTTATTCTAATGAATAGAATTTCTGATCTGGATTGCGAAAATTTCCTTTGGAAACATATTTCAATTAAATTATTGAAATTAAATATAAAATATACCAACGCATTAAATTAAAAGTAGTAATACACATGTCACCAAAGACAGGACAAATTTATACATGAATTTCAATAAAACTGCTTTCAGCTACATTTGCTTAAATTTAATACAAATGGAGTTTTGAAAAATTTCTGCTCCACCCAAAATACCTTTGTTTAATAGCGTAGCTTTAAGCTGGATCATGTATCTTTGAAATGAAAAGTACTAATAGATTAACATACAGAAACTGTATTTATTATTTTCTTTTAGTACATTTCCGCCTTATTTCGCTTTCCTCCTAGCAGTTGTACAAGTATTTCTTAAAAATGCGATTTACTAAAGGGATTCTTTCAATTCACCTGAAAACATTGAATAATATTATAGGAGACTTCGATATATATTTTGAAAATACTTACAAATGTGAGTTTTCAAAAGGTAAAAAAAAAAATCCATTCCTCTAAAAAGCGAAATATCAATGTATTACATTTGATCTTCTTCCAGTACTTTGCTACATATTTGTCCCAGTTCCATTTTAAAAACATTTACAAGGTTCAGTTATTCTGAAAATATCTCCCTCTAGCTAAAATTTCTTTGTTTAACGCTTTATGTAAAGATTACCTCCCAAACTTTATGCGGAGTGTATTGCTTAGCATAACTGCAGAGGGAGTTTAATTAATGTTAAAATATAAAGAATTTAATTAATTAATTTTAAATTAAGTTAATGAATGTTTAAAATGTAAAGAATACTTTTTCTAATCTTCGACATGATAAACGTTTTTCCATAATATACGTCTGCATCCTGATTCATGACACAAGTAGTTTTTCCTAAAATTTCCAGGATTTATATTCCTCTTTCACTATTTTGCTTAGCCATTCCATCGTTGTGTGATTGCGCTTAGAAAGAGCTATTTTCAAGCTATCAAAGGCAAAATAGTTCATAAATGAAACTTCAGTCAGCTTGGCAAGAATACGTTGAAGAGGTATATATGTAGTACGTGTACAAGTCTTCATTTTTTATCCGCTATGAAGTATGATTTGCTGTTTTGTTTTGATGAACTTTCACTCTTTAAAGTTCATTAAAAAATTATTTCTTCTGCAGATGTCGGATGCAAAAATTTCTCTTCATTATACGTTGCGTTGATTTAAAATGTTTTTCCACTATTCGAGTTTTTAATTTCCCATCATAAAAGAATCCTGCAGCTATCACAGACATTTTACTGAAACTACAAGGTTTGGACATTATTTCGCTTCGCTTTCTATGATAAATGAACCTATTTTTTTGTTGCAGTTATGCAGGTAAACACACGCGTCATCTAGGGTTACAATGTATTTCAATTTATCTCCTCCTCAATAGTTTTCCTACTGCATTTAAAAACTGTTCTGAGTTGAGCAACATGTCTCGACAAAAGTTGGTGAACTTCATGCTTTTTTAAGTTATAAATCTTTGTTTATTATTTTATTTTATTTAGCCAATTCATTTATGTGTCAAAGGAGCTTTCTTTTGTTCCCAGCGATTTAATTTTAGATATAAAAGAATGTACGTACCTTTTATGGTTATTTGTTTGGAGGTTTCATTCCATATAGAAGTAATGATTGATGTTTTTTCCTTTCCGATTAATAATGTTGTTTATTCTGCGCTTGGAATTTTAATAACATGCATTTCAGAGCGATTTTGACATACGGAATGGGAATATTTATTTTCGGTAAAAGCATAAGCATATCCTTCAACTCACAGTTTGTTTACATGCAACATTTTGAAAGAAGAAAATAATTAAAAGTACCTGAAGATACATCTCATTTCAAATTGTAAACTAATTGTATTTTAAAATTATATACACATTAAATATTTCTTTATTAAAACTTTATAACGATTAAATATTTCTTTATTAAAAGTTCTTGTGCTGGATTTTATGTGACATTCAATTGAGATTTTAATATTTCTGCTTGTGAATGATGAAAAAAAAATTTTATGTTTGAGGTCCGAGTTGAAACATAATAATTCTGCAATGAGGCCATGAAACATGATGCATGATAATTGCTTTCGAAGTTACTTGATCTGACAGAGTTTCAAATTTTGTTCCATTCCCTCTCTTCATGCTTGACTGGGATGGTAGAATTTAAGAAGTTTCTGTTTTGTGTGTCTTAATCCTGCAATAAGCATATCTAGTTAGCAGAGGGTTTGGGGTTCGAATCCATTAAAGCTATATATGATTTTTTAAAACTGCTGCTCATAAGTAACCTAATTACCTTCATTTTTGTAATTAAGTGGCAGCACAGGTGAAATTACTTTTTATTTAGTATTTGCCGTCAAAATTAAGTGGTTTCCACGTCATAAATAATTACTTCGTCCATAATTCAAGCCTTAATCTTCATTTAAGTGATAAAAAACAGAGATCTGTACCTAACATATTACTGATATTAGAATTTTAAAATTTTATTTCTACGATTTGTATTTTGCTCATGGAATTTTATTTTATTTATCATACTTCCCCACGAATGAAATAATGTCAGTTACTTTTCCTCCTTCTTGATATTATAACAGATAAT